TTCCATATCACTGGTAGTTTATACAGTTTCTATATAACTGGTAGTTTATACATTTTCCCATAACTGGTAGTTTATATAGTTTCTATATAACTGGTAGTTTATACAGTTTCTATATAACTGGTAGTTTATACAGTTTTTATAAGGTATGTTGATTTGTATCATTTGTTATGCAGTGTATTCAATGTTCTGTAAGTGTATAGTTTTCTGTGTTCTGACTTGATTGAGTTATAGGAATATACCATTTACAGGTTCTTTATGATAAGGTATACGGTAAACTATTATTAGCAATATCATTCTTAAGTTGGAAAAAAGCTTGCTAATTGATGAGCTGTTTCTCCTAATAACTGTTTATAGGAGCAGACATGAAGAACAGATGCAGGCCCTGTTAGCAAGTGAGTGTGCTGTAGAGCCTGTGAGATCAGGCTGACAGAGTGTTGCTTCGGTTATAGGCGTGAAATGATGGGATTAACATTGTAGAGCAACTAGTGGAGGGCCCCACTTACACAAAATCTACCATAATCCTCCTAATTTTGTGAGATAAATTTCTACAGCTGCCTATCAGCGATTGGAATAAAGTAATATTTGTAGCCCTTCAAGTCAAGTAATTGGCCTTAGTTTATGAGATGGTGTTGAATTCAGTGCTGGGGATTTATCACCAGAATGTAAGAGATGGGCCCAAACCTATAGGCAGAAGAGTGCTATGATAGGTAACACACAGGAACCAGGCCGAGAAGGTGTCAGTTAGAATTCTGCACCAGACTGTTGATAAACATGCTCCCTGACATGCTATATGCTGGGAACCAACTGCCGAAGACTTTGTTTTCAAGTAGGCAGATTCTTAGAGAATTTACAAGACAGGTTCTCAGTATACCGAGTATGGCACTGTGTGTCAGATTCCTAAAGACATTATGTACAGTTCACATTGTTTCTGTTACTGGCATACAGAACAAGATATATGATATGGTTAGCGTGTGACTATTCACTAATTTTATATGATTGTATAGGATGATTGTCCATGACTGTTTATCCATCAATATACATATGTAGATCAAGTTATTACTTGGACCAAACTTCAGAACAAATCTGGGTCAGATTCATTTGATTATTAACCTAGAAGATATGTAATACCATGCTGTACTTTAGTTTGTCTGGTGTTCAACATTTTGGTAACAGCGTTGATCAAATATTGACAGGTCCAAAGGCGATCATGGCGACTGATCTCAGGAACCCATTTTATAATGCAACCCCACTGGAAAGTCAGCTCCCATTATATTGTGCTACCCCACTGGAAAGTCAGCACCCATTATATTGTGCTACCCCTATGGAAAGTCAGCTTCCATTATATTGTGCAACCCCGCTGGAAAGTCAGCACCCATTATATTGTGCAACCCCACTGGAAAGTCAGCTACCATGTTATAGTGCTAGTCCAATGGAAAGTCAGCACCCATTAGATTGTGCAACCCCACTGAAAAGTCAGCACCCATGTTTTAGTGCCACCCCACTAGAAAGTCAGCTCCCATGTTATAGTGCTAGTCCAATGTAAAGTCAGCTCCCATTATATAGTGCTACCCCACTGGAAAGTGAGGACCCATGTTATAGTGCCACCACACTGGAAAGTCAGCTACCATGTTATAGTGCTACCTCACTTGAGAGTCAGAACCCATTTTATAGTGCAAACCCACTGGAAAGTCAGATACCATGTTATAGTGCTACCTCACTTGAGAGTTAGCACCCATTTTATAGTGCTACCTTACTTGAGAGTCAGAACCCATTTTATAGTGCAAACCCACTGGAAAGTCAGGAACCATGTTATAGTGCCGCCCCACTGGAAAGTCAGATACCATGTTATAGTGCTAGTCCACTGGAAAGTCAGGCCCCATGTTATAGTGCTAGCCCACTGGAAAGTCATGACCCATGTTTTAGTGCCACCCCACTAGAAAGTCAGCTCCCATGTTATAGTGCCACCACACTGGAAAGTCAGCCCCCATTTTATAGTGCCACCCCACTAGAAAGTCAGCTCCCATTTTATAGTGCAAACCCACTGGAAAGTCAGGTCCCATGTTATAGTGCTAGCCCAATGGAAAGTCAGATCCCATTATATTGTGCACCCCCACTGGAAGGTCAGCTCCCATTATATAGTGCTACCCCACTGGAAAGTGAGGACCCATGTTATAGTGCCACCCCACTAGAAAGTCAGCTCCCATGTTATGGTGCCACCCCACTGGAAGGTCAGCTCCCATTATATTGTGCAACCCCACTGGAAAGTCAGCTTGCATTTTATAGTGCTAGTCCAATGGAAAGTCAGCTCCCATTATATTGTGCAACCCCACTGGAAAGTCAGGACCCATGTTATAGTGCCACCCCACTGGAAAGTCAGCACCCATGTTATAGTGCCACCCCACTGGAAAGTCAGCACCCATTTTATAGTGCTAGTCTAATGGAAAGTCAGCTCCCATTATATTGTGCAACCCCACTGGAAAGTCAGGACCCATGTTATTGTGCCACCCCACTGGAAAGTCAGCACCCATGTTATGGTGCCACCCCACTGGAAAGTCAGGACCCATGTTATAGTGCCACCCCACTGGAAAGTCAGCTCCCATTTTATTGTGCAACCCCACTGGAAAGTCAGGACCCATTTTATAGTGCTAGTCCACTGGAAAGTCAGGACCCATGTTAAATGGCATCCTACTTAAAAGTTAGCACCCATTTTATAGTGCCACCCCACTGGAAAGTCAGCACCCATTTTATAGTGCTAGTGCAATGGGAAGTCAGCTCCCATTATATTGTGCAACCCCACTGGAAAGTCAGCACCCATGTTATAGTGCCACCCCACTGGAAAGTCAGCACCCATGTTTTAGTGCCACCCCACTGGAAGGTCAGGACCCATGCTATAGTGCTACCTCACTTGAGAGTCAGAACCCATTTTATAGTGCTACCTCACTTGAGAGTCAGGATTTATTTTATAGTGCTACCTCACTTGAGAGTTAGCACCCATTTTATAGTGCTACCTCACTTGAGAGTCAGAACCCATTTTAAGAGCTGGGGTAAAGGAGAAGCAGTACATAAGGGCTTTTGTTTTAGGTGACAGCTGGCAGGTGTATTGGGCAGAGGACATAGCTGGAGAAATGTTTTACGAGGAAGGGGGACAAGAATCCGGACTCTAGGAGGAGGTTTAGAGAATAGGGAGGGGGACAAGAATCCGGACTCAAGGAGGAGGTTTAGAGAATAGGGAGGGGGGCAAGAATCCGGACTCAAGGAGGAGGCTTAGAGAATAGGGAGGGGGACAAGAATCCGGACTCAAGGAGGAGGGTTAGAGAATAGGGAGGGGGACAGGTATCCAGACTCTGAGTGTGAGGAAAGTGTTTTCAAGGGTTGTACTCAATGTTGATGAAGTGAAGGGGTGCGGTAACCTGTAGTATTTGGGGGCCAGCCAAGTTGTGGTTTCAGCAGTGTGTACACAGCTTCCTGATTCTCCAATTACTTATCTGACTGGGGCCGGGGCTTACCTTGTATCAGAGGACATGTGTAGAGGTAATTGGCTGACTTGTTGGTGCTGTAACTCGGATTTATGGGGAGGGGGTGAAATGTTGATATGTACAGGGGCGGTTGTGATGGATGTCAGAGAGATATTATGACACATTACCTGATGGAGCACAAAGATTTTCCACAAATATATAATCTGGTGTATTCTTGGATAACCTGTTACATCACTAGAACATTCCTGCTCTGAGAACTAAAAATGATGAGTGATAATGACATTATGTAGGGGAAGTGCCACAGTTACAGACTGCTAAGGCTTATCATTCACTCACACAAACACTTACTTGTCCGACTTAGTCAAGGTCAGCAGAGTCAATCAAGGTCATCCGTTTACTAGCCTGTAACATGTTGGTTAACACAGGGTGATTTCTGTACTCTTATCTCAATTAAGGTGTACTTTTAGTGAATCATCCCTCTATTTATAGACTTTCTATCTTTCCTACTGACAGTTACTGGATTTCAGTTGTTAAATCCCATTAAACATTCATTAGTATAATCAGCATCCTAGACTTGCTGAAGTCCCCTGATTAATGATTCGGCCTTTATTTTTAAATGAAATAGTACTAAAATTACTGTTTTAAGTTCTGACTCTCTGATGTTGATTGATGGAAAATTGTAGAATTTTTGTTTGAAATACTAATTGCTGCAGATCTTAGTTAATGGTGTTATTGGTTTGGGTAATGTTGCAATGATGTGATTATCATTTGGCACATACACATAACTTTTTTAAGATGTGTTAGAAAAAGAAAAAAAAATGTGTTAGTGTGTATGGTCGTATGCACATTTTGGATTACACCTATTCCTAGATGTGTTTTGTGACTAAAAGGTGTGTTGTGAAACAATGCCAGTTAACTATATAACACCAGTGGTAGGACGCCGGGCTCGTGACCGAAGGGTTGCAGGTTCGAGTCATGGCATGGCACTATGTTGTATCTTTGAGCAAGATAGTTTACTGTGTGTTCCAGTCTACTCAGCTGTAAATGAGTATGTGGTTGGGCAGTGCTAGAATTGTAGAATTCTAGCTGTGAGCGCTGAAATGGCAGCACCTGGCAGCACCGGTTGTATGCTCCCCAGGGAGTTGAAAAAGATATTGGCTGGTTGCAAAGGCCCTTTAACCACAGATAATAATTTGTGAACCTGCTTTGAGATGACCTACGATCTACGTTTGTGATAAAGTGGTATATAAGTACCTCAAGACCATGGTATGGGGTCAAAGTTCAGGTAAATTTTGTCAGAACTGTTGTTTCCGATTGTGCCAAGATTTTGTTATGGAATTATATAGATGAGCCTATACAGGTTACAGGTTGTGTATCAAAAAGTTGTACAATTTACAGTATCCAATGTCCTTCAATATAATTGGCTGGTTCTATGAACAAACTGTACCTCATTTACATATCTCTTCTATTCTTTGATGTGGTATAGTGCTATTCATATAATGAATTGTTTTCCATTATTTTCAGGAGGAATAGCCTGCCATCCTCTACAATATCAGCTTTCAGGTAAATATCGGGTCATATGAAGTATGAACCAATTATACAGTACCTGAGAGTAATTATAATTATCACCTTAAAATGCATCTATTTCCAGATTTTTCACCCCAGTTTAAATTCTTTTTCATTTAGCGACAATGTAAGATTAAAACTTTCGGAGGCATTTTTGAATGTTTGAAAGAAGCAAGTGAATTAACACCAAAGTAAATTTCACTGTTACATATCTTTTAAAATAGTTTTCTGTATGTACATTATGTCTGATGTATCCCTTAGGTTTCTGGTGGGCAAGGATGAGCTACCAGCCTCAGTTTTGGATGAGGAACCAACAGTCCGACCTTCCTCCCAGTCCCGAATCATAGGAAGGGGCACTCGATTCACCACCCTGCAACCTGTTCTGTCCTGGCTACAAAACCAGTCTAAACATCGTCTATGTAAACACCACCATAGCTGTGTTTACTATGTACTCAAGGCTAGTCCTGTCTCAATAATTCTTATCAATCAATAAATCCATCAATCATTAAGTGAATGAATCAGTCATGTCAATCATCAGTCAGTGTTTACTATCAATGCCACAAATCATGGAATACAATCACAGTACAAGCCATATACATGTTTCATATAACAAATAGTAATGATGTCCAGACAAACTTAACTACAGAGACACAATAAGTACGACATATCTATAAATAGGTACTTTATATATTTTACAACAAGTTTCTCCAACTTCTATTAATCAGTCTTGTTCGAAGTGCGCTAACGGTCTTCATGTGGGAAGAAACTGGAGTGTACAGAGAAAAACTAACTGGTCAGCAAGTGACCCAAGTATCTTTTCACATCCAATTGGGGAATCAAAACCCAGCTGTCTTAAATGGTGATTGGCTATTGCGCTATCTTCTGCACCACCTGACCACCTAGCTAATTATAGACAAATCTATACCTACATACAACAGTAGATCTATATTTACAGTTTCAAAAATAAAGTACCAGCTGAAAGTATGCATCATTTGCAAAACAACAATAGTTTTGCAATAAGAACTGAATAGCAGGTAATATACCAAAAACTTGGTAACAGGGTTAAATGCCTTAAGGTCGACCCGGCCAAGTTCAATGACCACTTTCAGCGGATTCCATTTGGCCGAGTTATGGCCCCTTGATTAATGAAAAACATCAATATCTGCAGTTTCCGCTTAGCCAAATTCCTTCAAACTTGATAACAATATTTGTGTTCCTCTGTCTTTCCACCCATCTTGGGCACTCTTTGGTTTTCATGTGATAATTGCTGTAGATATTGTGCAGATATTTCAACCAAATTCCGTATGCACATCTGACTCATGCTAAGTTTGCCAACCGATGTGATTTGTGCATATTTACAATTAGTTTATGAGGTATAATTTTATTTTATTTCAAGTTTCAAACTATACATAATGTCTCAACAGCACGATACTCACATGTTTAACCTAACCTCACCTATGTTTACCTGTAATATGTCCTGAAAGCGGGGGGATATAAATTCCACTAATTTGCTTGTTTTTATTGATGCACAAGTTGGGGATAACTTTGTTCTACAGCCATTGAACCAATCTTACAATAACCTGTGACACTCTTACTTAATAAGCTTGATTAGCTCATACCTGTCAGGTGAACAGAATAAGCTTGGAGTCGTGTGTTTGATTAACTCATACCTGTCAGGTGAACAGAATAAGCTTGGAGTCGTGTGTTTGATAAGCTCATACCTGTCAGGTAAACAGAATAAGCTTGGAGTCGTGTGTTTGATTAACTCATACCTGTCAGGTGAACAGAATAAGCTTGGAGTCGAGTGTTTGATTAACTCATACCTGTCAGGTGAACAGAATAAACTTGGAGTCGTGGTGTGTTTGATAATAAGCTCATACCTGTCAGGTGAACAGAATAAGCTTGGAGTCGTGTGTTTGATTAGCTCATATCTGTAAGGTGATTAGAATAAGCTTGGAGTCGTGTGTTTGATTAACTCACACCTGTCAGGTAAACAGAATAAGCTTGGAGTCGTGTGTTTGATTAACTCATACCTGTCAGGTAAACAGAATAAGCTTGGAGTCGTGTGTCTGATTAGCTCATACCTGTAAGGTGAACAGAATAAGCTTGGAGTCGTGTGTTTGATTAACTCATACCTGTAAGGTGAACAGAATAAGCTTGGAGACGTGTGTTTGATTAACTCATACCTGTAAGGTGAACAGAATAAGCTTGGAGACGTGTGTTTGATTAACTCATACCTGTAAGGTGAACAGAATAAGCTTGGAGACATGTGTTTGATTAACTCATACCTGTCAGGTGAACAGAATAAGCTTGGAGTCGTGTGTTTGATAAACTCATACCTGTGCAGGTGAACAGAATAAGCTTGGAGTCGTGTGTTTGATTAACTCATACCTGTCAGGTGAACAGAATAAGCTTGGTGTCGTGTGTTTGATTAGCTCATACCTGTCAGGTGAACAGAATAAGCTTGGAGTCGTGTGTTTGATTAGCTCATACCTGTCAGGTGAACAGAATAAGCTTGGAGTCGTGTGTTTGATTAGCTCATACCTGTCAGGTGAACAGAATAAGCTTGGAGTCGTGTGTTTGATTAACTCATACCTGTCAGGTAAACAGAATAAGCTTGGAGTCGTGTGTTTGATTAACTCATACCTGTCAGGTGAACAGAATAAGCTTGGAGACGTGTGTTTGATTAACTCATACCTGTCAGGTGAACAGAATAAGCTTGGAGTCGTGTGTTGGATTAACTGATACCTGTCAGGTCAACAGATCTTGTCCCGCCCAGTAGTTTTGCTCAGGACCCGCTGAAGAGTCTGTATCAGCTGAAGTGACAACAGTGCTGGTTGTACAGAGCAACTGACATATCTTCCTGCACATTGCCCTAAGTACTCTAGCTATAAAAATGGGTACCGGCTTTTGAAGGGCAACTTTCTCTGAATTAATTGAAATCCAGCGTGAAACATGAAAGATTAACTTGACATCATTAGGGTACACAATCTTCTCAACCCTCGCAAGCCATTAGCATCAGAAAGACATTGCTATGCAATTAAGGTGTTTGGGTAAGATGTACTTTAGGTTTGGCCATTACACGGTTTTCTATTGATACAATGTCCGGGTAGCGTGTGTACAACCGGTGAATGTGCAGAGTTAGTGGTTTTGACCCTGTCTTGGTGTGAGGTGTTGTCAATTACTACACATTTCATAGTTCTCAATTCTTGTCAAACACATAATCAATGGCCACTCTCCATCATAAGGCCAGCTTTATGGACCAGAGTGGAATAGGTCAACATCTTCATCCTACCTGACCGTGCTGACTTTGTGAGTGAAGTTGGAGACAGTTGCTAATGCACTGAATGCCTGATTAGACTTTAGCTGTTTGATTGTCTACGTTAATGTTGGGATGGTACAGCAGAAAGGACAAGTGATTAGCAATGGCTAATTGTGGACATTCAATGCTTAAAACATTGGAAGTGCATTACAGTCATTGGCTCTGGTGGGAAATTCTGTTTGTGTTCTTTAAAAACATCCTGTGGATTTTTTTGTCGAGAGATATCCAGTGACTGTCCCTAGAAGACATCATGTGTTTGTTTTTGTCGGGAGATATCCAGTGACTGTCCCCAGAAGACATGCTTTGTTTGTTTTTGTAGAGAGATATCCAGTGACTCTCCCCAGAAGACATCCTTTGTTTGTTTTTGTCGGGAGATATCCAGTGACTGTCACCAAAAGACATCCTTCGTTTGTTTTTGTCGAGAGAGATATCCAGTGACTCTCCCCAGAAGACATGCTTTGTTTGTTTTTGTCGAGAGATATCCAGTGACTCTCCCTTAAAGACATTCTTTGTTTGTTTTGTCGAGAGATATCCAGTGACTCTCCCCAAAAGACATTCTTTGTTTGTTTTGTCGAGAGATATCCAGTGACTGTCACCAGAAGACATTCTTTGTTTGTTTTTGTCGGGAAATATCCAGTGACTGTCCCCAGAAGTCTGTCCCAAGGAGATATCCTGTCTCTTTAATGAGGAGCTATACAGTGTCTGTCCCTAGGAGATATTCTGTTTCTTTAATCAGGAGATATCCTGTCTCTGTCCTGTGTAGATATCCAGTGTCTGTCCCAAAGAGATATCCTGTCTCTTTAATCAGGAGATATTCATTGACAGTCTTCAGGAGATATCCTGTCTCTGTCCTAAGTAGATATCCAGTGTCTACCCCAAGGAGATATCCTGGTATATTTTTGTTTTGTTACAATGTTACATGTCCAGAGCATATAGCAATGTTTGAATCGGAAGGTTCATGTTTGATTACCATTTTCTTCCTGGAGTTAATTGTGATACTAATCGAGATTAATTAATTCTTATTGTAGGAATCTGGCCTGTGAGCACATGCCATGGTGCCTTGGCCATCTACATTTCCTTGAAACATCTTCTTAAGAGTTATAAGGCATATGACTTCCTCTTATGAACTATAAGGCCTTGAGTTGTAATGTTGGGTTGGTAGCTTGCTGGTGACAGGCTACTACATTTACATATGATATAAACATAAAACACCTTTTAAATGATTAAAAAGATCTAGAATCATGGTATTTGCTGGTTTGTAGCTTGAGAGGCTGAATGTTTTTCAAATTAAAAAAAAATATTACCTGGACTTTTATGGCCAAATAGGTAAAATGTGTTAATTTATTCTGGTAAGGAGCTTTAAAGCAAAATAATTCTGTACAATTTTCAAATATCACTACCACATTTCATCACAAACACCTACACTAGACAATATCAAAGTATGCAATGTTATATATATGTGTTGATATGAAATAATAATGAAATGGAAAGAAACCCTTAGCAAATGTCACTGGTCTAAATAAAAAATCATTTTCCTAAAAAGAAGAGATCTAAATGTATTATATATTTTTTTGGAATTTCTTTGAAAGTTTTAATAATCAGAAGATAGCACTTGTCATTACTGTCAATACTTTCTCCATCTTGGTCTGGACTATAGAAATGTCCAGCATGTGATGAGGAACTTTTTATCGTGCATTGATGGGCCGACCAGTTGACCGTGCAGTAATAAACCTAATGGATACACATCCGGAAAATTGGCCAATGATAATATTGGAATCAATATTTATGTGTTATTGTCATGCTGGGCCATCGTTAGATTGTTCTGCGCCTATCTTTACTTACTTTCACTACCATTAAGGCTGTAATTTGTCCGGAAGAGTTGAGTCCATATAACACTGATGTACTTCATGGCCTAAGTCCATTTCTGTAAATCCAAATCATATGATTCTGATGCAGCTAACATGGTTTGTGTAGGAAGGGAGACAACTCCTACACTGAATACTTACTGTATGTGAATTCAGACACTATTACACACAGATAAATATTTATTTTACAGGTTTTATCATTAACAAATGTGTAAAAAAACAATTCAACAGAATTTGAATTCCTGAAACGTGAAGTAGTACCGAAGCGACTTCTTTTGTTCAGTTGACGTTGATTATAACAGTTCTGTTGCCTGAAAAATGAAAATTAATAATACATCATATGTACATGTATTATAAAAAAGTTACATTCATACATTGGTAATTCTGAATCAGAATATCACTTGATATAATACTTGTTATGTTTATCATGATCATACTTATAGTAACCTGCCATCAGAACAATTTTATCTATTACATTGTTTACATTACAGGGGTTCACTAAGATGTTTGGATTAGGCTTTGTGATCCAGGGAGGAATCAAGGTTGTCAGCGCCCTGCCTAGGCTTGTCAAAAATCCGAGTGCTCTCCTCCAGGCTGTCAAACACCGTGACAACTTCAAACTAGCAGCATTCTTAGGATGCTTCAATGCTGTATTCAGGGTAGGATGTCACTGTGTCCTTTGTATTTCAGAATAACATTAGGAATGTTATGTGATTGGAATCTTTTAAGTCACATAAACGAGAACTAATAAAAAAAAGAACAAGATCTAATGTAATAGGAAATAACAAGATCTAATGTAATGGGAAATAACAAGATCTAATATAATGGGAAATAACAAGATCTAATATAATGGGAAATAACAAGATCTAATATAATGGGAAATAACAAGATCTAATGTAATGGGAAATAACAAGATCTAATGTAATGGGAAATAACAAGATTTAATTTAATGGGAAATAACAAGATCTAATGTAATGGGAAATAGCCAGATCTGATGTAAAAGGAAATCACAAAAACAAATGTAAGGGCAAATAACCAGATAAAATGTAATGGGAAAATAACCAGATTTGATGTAGTGAAAAATCACAAGAACTTAACCAGATCTATTGTAAGGGGATATAACTAGACCTACTGTAAGGGGACATAACTAGATCTACTGTAAGGAGACATAACTAGATCTACTGTAAGGGGACAAAGCCAGACCTACTGTAAGGTGACATAACTGGATCTACCGTAAGGGGACATAACTAGATCTACAGTAAGGGGACAAATCTAGATCTACTGTAAGAGGACATAACTAGATCTACTGTAAGGGGACATAACTAGATCTACTGTAAGGGGACATAACTAGATCTACTGTAAGAGGACATAACTAGATCTACAGTAGAGGACATAACTAGATCTACTGTAAGGTGACATAACTAGATCTACTATAAGAGGACATAACTAGATCTTCTGTAAGGGGACATAACTAGATCTACTGTAAGAGGACATAACTAGATCTACAGTAAGGGGACAAAGCTAGATCTACTGTAAGGTGACATAACTAGATCTACTGTAAGGGGACATAACTAGATCTTCTGTAAGGTGACATAACTAGATCTACTGTAAGGGGACAAAGCTAGATCTACTGTAAGGGGACATAACTAGATCTACTATAAGGGGACATAACTAGATCTACTGTAAGGGGACATAACTAGATCTACTGTAAGGGGACATACCTAGATCTACCGTAAGGGGACATAACTAGATCTACTGTAAGGAGACATATATAACTAGATGGCCTCAGACCACAATTTATTATGCCCCCGCCATAAAAAATGGGGGGCCATATAGTGTTGTCCGTGTTGTGTCGCGTCCCGTCCCGTCCCGTCCCGTCCTGTCCTGTCCCGTCTCGATTCAATGTAAACACCCGTCCTGTCGCGTCCCGTCCCGACTCAATGTAAACACTTACGCAACTTCATTCTTTGACAGATTTTGGTTAAACTTTATACAAAGGTACAACCCTCAATAAAATGGGGGAGGGGGCATATTGTGTTGCCCATGTCCGTCCCGTCCCTTCCCATCCTGATTCAATGTAAACACTTAGCAACTTCATTCTTTCACGGATTTAGGTCAAACCTTATACAAAGGTCAAGTATGAATATACTTCTGACATCATTGTGTTTCAGGGATCCAAGTCCAAGGTCACACTTGCTATATATAGAAAATCATCAATTGATTCAATTTAAACACTTAGCAACTTCATTATTTCATGGATTTTGGTCAAACTTTATGCAAAGGTCAAGTATGATTATACTTCGGACATTGTTGTGTTTCACGGTTCCAATGTCAAGGCCAAGGTCACTGTTGCTATATATAGAAAATCATCAACTGATTCAATTTAAACACTTAGCAACTTAATTTTTTCACAGATTTTTGGTCAAACTTTATTTAGGTCAAATATGAGTATCCCTCTGACATCCTAGTGTTTCAGGATGGTAATAACATACAGAAAAAAACATATGAATATTAAAATCAACTTATCAACTTTAAGTGTAGTACCTTGTGTGTGTGCATGTTTCAGGGTATCAAGATCAAAGTGGTTGTAACTTTTTATAGAACACTGAAACTAATTTCACATGGCAGCGAGGGCATTTATGTCTTACAGACATTTTCTAGTTCTACTATATGTTACTACCAAAAGAAAAAAGGAATTAAAATGATTTAAAACTTTGCGCAGGGTCTGGTTCCTATTTCATATTGTAGTTCTATTCAAACAGAACCTACAGAGAGCTTGAGAGTACCTCATGACCGGCAATTAATGGATGTCACTACGTGGTACCCTGCATATATAGGGGAAATTACCAAACATCACAAAATATCAATGTGCAAGCCTCGCCACTCATTGTGTCCTCATTACTGTAAATACAAACTTGCAAACTGTGTGAAAAAAAAATTCACTAGAATAGATATTGTTGAACAATTCTTTGTAAAAAAAATGTACAGATCTGTCTTAGATCGGACAGGAACAAGTATTAAGTTACTGACCTGAAATATCCTTATGCACTACATTCGTGTACAACGACCTGGAAGTGTATTTGTGGTCCAAGGCCAGATCTGCTGTAAGGGGACATAACTCGATCTAGCATAAAGGGACACAGGTTTGGTGGGATTGGTATGGGTGTAGTTGACTTTTTTGCAGAAACAAGCTAATTGAATCAGTAATAAAAGATATTTTTATTGACAGAGGGAGTGTTTCCTCAAGACAGACTAAACTTTGCATGACACTGTTTTAATTTTTTCATTGTATATAATTTTCTGAAATAAAGAAATTGTCATTGTTGAACCCCTCTTGTTGACAGGCTGTAAACTGCTGTTTAAGACATATACGTAACAGTGACAGTGATATACATGGTCTACTGGCGGGGGTCCTGGCCGGCTGGTCTATGCTGTGGTACAAGAGTGTCACTGCTGCCCTCTATACTGCCTTTAAACTTGCAGAGGTAATTTTCATTTTGTCTCTATAATATTTGTTTTTATTGAATTTTACCTTATTACCAATGGGAAAGAACAAATGGGAAAAGGAACCAATATTTCAAATTCTTCTCCAGGCTCAGATGCACTACAATTAATTACCCCCGGGTCATCCATTCATCCTTGAGGAGGGAGTAATTATTTACTAGAGTTTATATAGGTAAATAACACTTTCAGTTATAATTGGTCCATTTTCAGCAGGAAATTATTCAGACTTGGTTGGAACATTTGTGATGAGATGGCAATGAGATGATATTTTAAATTAAGATATAAACTTGCCCAAGGGGCTGAAAGGGTGAGGTCCAAAATGGGTAAAATATAGTTAAACAGTTCAAAATCTGCTTCGTCAGACGTACTACAATCAAATACTCGTCATTGATGGAAAGAGCCTTAGGTGAATTAACTAAATTGTAAATTTCATAACCCCTATGTTATCTGCTCTCCCTCAGGGAGAGGGTAAATTTACTCTAGTTTATCTAGTTAAATAACATTTTTGGGTATATTTTGTCTACTCTTAGAAAGAAACTATTCAAACTTGGTTGGCATAGTTATGATGAAATTGAAATCAAATAGTATCAGAAAGTGAGGTCATGACCTACCCCAGAGGTTGGCCAAAGAGGAATATTGGCTAAATGTACTATTCAAATAAATCATTTTGCTATTGAGAAATATAATATCTATTGTCATATAGAACAATTAAAGGTGTCCTTTGTCTTACAGCGTTAGTTAATCCAGGCCTCGTATAGAACAATTAAAGGTATCCTTTGTCTTACAGTTTTAGTTAATCCAGGCCTCATATAGAACAATTAAAGGTGTCCTTTGTTTTACAGTGTTAGTTAATCCAGGCCTTGTATAGAACAATTAAAGGTATCCTTTGTTTTACAGTTTTAGTCAATCCAGGCCTCGTACAGAAAATTTTTGTAACTAATCATGTCTTAAGCAAGTGATAAATTATATTGATAGAATTTTATTCATCCAGAAAAACAAATTTCCAACAACAATATGTTGTGACTCAGGAGGACATACAAACATACACTGTACTAGTTGATTGTCTACTGTTTTGTGTTACAGGTTCTGTACTTTAAAGGAATTGAGAAGAATTTGGTGCCTTATATAAGATGTGCTGATATTATCATATATTCCATTTCCACTGCCTTTGTTTTTCACACTGTAAGTATAATGTAGAGTGTACCATCAGGATGTTCAGACCTTTAAAAATCAATAACAACTCAGTGTTCAGTAAATATCTCAGATATATTTACTTACAAGAATGAAATTTATAACAAAAGGTTTGAGAGTTTAAAGTATTATGATTTGAAAGACTGATAGAAAATATAAATAAAATAATCAATGAAGTAGGCTCATCACAGTCATTCAGGTATGGTTAAGTTGGTAGAGTATCTGCCCTTATAGTCAAAACGATCAAAAGTGTCAAACTGTCAGATGATCATGAGCACTGCCATGTTCAAAAGGCCTGCTTATAAACTGCTCTTTGTCACAGAGATGCTTGATACTGTGTACCTGGACATTTTCACTGCAGTTTAATTTTTGCCCCTTTTTATACGCCCGTCAAAGACGGGGACGTATTATGTTATCACGTGAGCGGGCGGGCATGCAAACGATGTCCGCTCGATATCTCGAGTAATTATTAACGGATTTTCTTCAAACTTCACAACAAGGTTAATTACCATGAAGGCTCGGACAAGTTCGATAACCGCCATTATCCGACCATAATTCGTGGAGTTATTCCCCTTGGTTTCATTAATGCGATGCATGCGTTACATGATGTTGTATTGCACTCATTGATCTACCAGTTATGTTGAATGATTTCTCTTTTAATATCAATTACTCACAAATACTTCATAGATTTCAATCATACAAACAACTGCTCATTCAATGTGTGACGGGTGTATTATATACCGCTCGCGGTAACCTTGTTGCCCTCTGTGTAAGTTTACCATTACAACAAACATTAACAATTGTGAAGAGCGAAAATCAAAACTGTGCAAATATGGATTTTACCAGTGAAGGACGAAAGTTTGACTGGACGAATATTTCCTGGTATACAGTAGAGCATAACTGTATCTGTATGTCTCAATAAGTTGTTTATTTCTTGACTTCCAATCAAAATACTTAAGAGCTTTGTCTACTTGAAGAAACTTTGCTGGTGCCTGTTTAATAGAAAAGAAACTCTGCTGGTGCCTGGTTAATAGAAAAGAAACTTTGCTGGTGCCTGATATTGAAGTCAGAACTGGATTATTCTTTCACTCTTTGTATGATCTTTGTTGTCATTATAGGCAGTTGTTGAGCCCCACAATCTGCGACCAGCCTACTGGAACTTCCTACTCAGAGTCACAGACAACAAGTAAGTAACTATATATTAGCTCTGCATCTGATTTATATAAGGTCCTTTAACAGTGTCTGATCCGGGGGAGTTCTTGAAGCTCTTGCCTAAGGAATTTTCTGTAAAAGCCATGTATTTTTCTCATTTGTACTATCACCACCACCAACCACCACCACCACCACCACTTCCATCCCCAACCACCACCACCACTACCATCCCAACCACCACCACCAACCACCAACCCAACAACCACCACCAACCACCACCACCACTACCATCCCCAACCACCACCACCACCACTACCTTCCCCAAACACCACCACCATCCCCAACCACCACCACCATCACCACCACCACTACCATCCCCAACCACCACCACCACCACTACCATCCCAACCACCACCACCACCACTACCACTACCATCCCAACCACCACCACCACCACCACCACCTACACCACCTACACCACCACCACCACCACTACCATCCCCAACCACCACCACCACCACCAACACCACCACCACCACCACCACCACTACCACTACCATCCCAACCACCACCACCACCACCACCACCAACCCAACAACCACCACTAACCACAACCACCACTACCTTCCCCAAACACCACCACCACTACCATCCCCAACCACCACCACCACCACCACCTCTACCAACACTACCAACACTACCATCACCAACAACCACCAACCACCACTACCATCCCCAACCACCAACATCACCACCACTACTTCCACCATTACCGTCCCCAACCACCACCAACACCACCACTACCATTCCAACCATCACCACCACCACCACCACCACCACCAACCCAACCACCACCACCAACCACCACCACCACTACCTTCCCCAAACACCACCACCACTACCATCCCCATCCATCACCACCACTACCACCCCAACCACCACCACCACCACCACCACTAACACCACCTCTACCAACACTACCATCCCCAACCACCAACAACCACCACCACCACAACCTTCCCCAAACACCACCACTACCATCCCCAACCACCACCACCACCACTACCTTCCCCAACCACCACCACTACCATCACCAACAACCAACAACCACCGCTACCATCCCCAACCACCAACATCACCACCACTACTTCCACCATTACCGTCCCCAACCACCACCAACACCACCACTACCATTCCCAACCATCACCACCACTACCACCTCAACCACCACCACCAACACTACCAACACTACAATCCCCAACCACCACTACCATCCCCAACCATCCCCAACCGGCAGCACCACCACTACCTTCCCCAACCACCACCACTACCATCACCAACCACTGCTACCATCCCCAACCACCACCATCACCACCACTACTTCCACCATTACTGTCCCCAACCACCACCAACACCACCACTACCATTGCAACCATCACCAACCACTACCAACCCCAACTACTACCACCCCCATCACCATTACCACCACCACTACAATCCCCAACCACCACTACCATCCCCAACCACCACAATCACCACCACTACTTCAACCACCACCATCACCACCATCCCCAACCACCACCACCACCACCACCATTACTTCAACCATTACTGTCCCCAACCACCACCAACCACCACCACCACCACTACCATCCCCAACCATCACCACCACTACCACCCCAACCACCACCACTAACACCACTACCACCCCAACCACCACCATCCCAACAACCACTACCACCAACACTACCAACACTACCATCCCCAACCACCAACAACCACCACCACAACCTTCCCCAAACACCACCACTACCATCCCCAACCACCACTACCATCCCCAACCAGCACCACCACCACTACCTTCCCAACTCACCACCACTACCATCACCAACAACCACCACTACCATTCCCAACTACCACCATTACCACCACTACCATCCCAAACAACCACCACTACCATCCCAAACAACCACCACTACCATCCCAAACAACCACCACTACCATTCCCAACTACCACCATTACCACCACTACCATCCCAAACAACCACCACTACCATCCCAAACAACCACCACTACCATCCTAAACCACCACCCTCATCCACCATCACCACTACCACCCCAACCACCACCACCACTACCACCACCACTACCACCCCCCAACCACCACCACCACCACCGTTATCATCCCTAACCACCACCACCACTTCCACCACTACCAACCCCAACCACCACCAACCTTCACCATCACCACCACTACCATCCCCAACCACCACCACCAACCACCAACACTACCACCACTACCACCACCACCACCACCACCACCACCACCACTACCATTCCCAACCATCACCACCACTACCACCCCAACCACCACCACCAACACTACCAACACTACCATCCCCAACCACCACCACCACTACCATCCCCAACCATCCCCAACCAGCAGCACCACCACTACCTTCCCCAACCACCACCACTACCATCACCAACCACTGCTACCATCCCCAACCACCACCATCACCACCACTACTTCCACCATTACTGTCCTCAACCACCACCAACCACCAACACCACCACTACCATTGCAACCATCACCAACCACTACCAACCCCAACTACTACCACCCCATCACCATTACCACCACCACTACAATCCCCAACCACCACTACCATCCCCAACCACCACCATCACCACCACTACTTCAACCACCTCCATCACCACCATCCCCAACCACCACCACCACCACCACCACCACCACCACCACCACTACTTCAACCATTACTGTCCCCAACCACTACCAACCACCAAAACCACCACTACCATTTCAACCATCACCAACCACTACCAACCCCAACTACTACCACCCCCATCACCATTACCACCACCACTACAATCCCCAACCACCACTTCCATCCCCAACCACCATCACCACCACCACCACTACCTTCCCCAAACACCACCACCACAACCATCCCCAACCACCACTACCATCCCCAACCTCCACCACTACCATTCCCAACTACCACCATCACCACCACTACCATCCCGAACAACCACCAATACCATCTCAAACCACCACCCTCATCCACCATCACCACTACCACCCCAACCACCACCACCACTACCATCGCCACTACCACCCCCAACCACCACCACCACCACCGCTATCATCCCTAACCACCACCACCACCACCACCACCATTTCCACCACTACCAACCCCAACCACCACCAACCATCACCATCACTACCATCCCCAACCACCACCAACATTACCATCCCCAACAACCACCACCACCACTATCATCCCCATCCACCACTTCCATCCCCAACCACCACCACCACCAACACTACCACCACCATCACCAACCACCACCATCCACCACCACCATCCCCATCAACCACCACCACTATCATCCCCATCCACCACTTCCATCCCCAACCACCACCACCAACACTACTTCCACCATCACCAACCACCACCATCCCCAGCGACCCCAACACCGCTACCATCCCCAACCATCACCACCACCACTTCTTCCAACATTACCATCCCCAAACACCACCAACCACCAACACCACCACTACCACTCCAACCATCACCAACCACTACCATCACCATTACCACCACCACCACCATCCCCAACCACTACCATCCCCAGCCATATCCACCACTACTACCACCCCCAACCACCACCACCTCCATCGATCTTTGGATCCACCACTGTTATATGTTCTATAGTTGTGCAGCCTTTAATGATAAAAGCAGTCATCACTTATCTGTACATTAAATATCACACAATATTGTGTCACTGATCCAGGAGAGTTCTTGCCTGAGTATTTTCTATAAAAGCCATGTATTTTTCTCATTTGTACTACCACCACCACCAACACCACTACCTTCCCCAAACACCACTACCACCACTACCATCCCCAACCACCACTACCATCCCCAACCACCACCACTACCATTCCCAACTACCACCATCACCACCACTACCATCGCAAACAACCACCAAAACCACCACTACCATCCCAAACCACCACCTTCATCCACCATCACCACTACAACCCCAACCACCACTACCACCCCCAACCACCACCACCACTATCATCCCTTACCACCACCACCACTACCATCCCCAACCACCAACAACCTTCACCATCACCACCACTACCATTCCCAACCACCACCACCACCATCCCCAACCACCACCACAATCACCACCACCACCACCACTACCATCCCCAAACACCACCACTACTTCAACCACCACCATCCCCAACCACCACCACCACCACCACCCTCCCC